CTACAGGACAGGAAGACATGAAAGATAGGAAAGTCAGAGCCATTTATAGGGAATAAAAAAATAGCTTTAGGTATTTTTAATCTTAACAAACAATAAATAATATCCACCAAAGAAGCCTGACCTAGAAGTGGGACAAACAGACTTTTAAGGAGCCTCTTGCCCCCAAGCACCAAGTTAACAGAATCCCTGGTCTCTAGCTGCACATGGGGAACATAGAGGCCATTATTCTAGTCCTACCTGTAGCCACATGAGCACCTCCCACGCATCCTGCCACTGGCAAACAACAGCTACCTACACCTCACAGTTTCTTCTGAGAAAGTTTTTTTTTAAAGATTTATTTATTTATGTATACAGTGTTCTGTCTACATGTATCCTCGCAAGCTAGAAGAGGGCACCAGATCTCTTTACAGATGGTTGTGAGCCACCATGTGGATGCTGGGAATTGAACTCAGGACCTCTGGAAGAGCAGCCAGTGCTCTTAACCTCTGAGCCATCTCTCCAGCCCCCGAGAAAGTTTTATCAGGTGAGAAACGGAGTTCCCCAGTGGCACCACAATCATAACTGGACCCTGGCTCCAACACCTTGCAACATGTACCAAAGGGAACCCTGCAGTGCACTAAAGACCTCCAATGACCACAGCTGTTACAGGACTCTCACGCAGGTTCCTGGGGAACATCTGTGGTCTGTTTCAGTTCTCAAAGTTCCACACAGGCAACACAACAGTATCCTTGGGCCCAGACTCTTCATGGCTACCTCCTCAGGGAGCATATCCCTCCACACCTTCTGTGACATCTTTCCCCATCACGCCAATGTCTCCTGGCATGAATTCAAGCTCATTTTGACTTTGCACTTGTTGCTTAAGCATCTATCTTCCCCTTAGACCAAGGATGCCCAAATAATAAGTTCAGACTATGCAGCTGTTAAGGTTTAAAAATGAAATGTCCCCGGTTGATCCTTGTGCTGAAGGTTTGCTCCCCAGGTGGTAGGGCTATTTTTGGGAGCTGGTGGAAACTTTGGGAGCTAGGGTGGGAGGCAGATTGAGAATGGAACACAGGGGATGTGCTTTTGAAGGATATCTTGTTCCTAGCCCTTTTATTTCTCCTTCACCCTCCTTTTCCTCTCCTCCATCTCCTCTTTTCCTTCCCTCTCTTCACTTCCCTCTTCTTGGATGACAAAAGATGAACACTTACACCATGATGTTCTGTCCCAATCGAGACTCAAAAACAATGGCACCAGCCAATCAGGAACTATAGCTTCCACTGTGAACCAAAATAAATCTTTCCTCTCTTACAGTTATTTTCTCAGGTATTTCTCAAGTGGTAGAATATCTAACACATCAGCCAGGATACTGGGTTTATTTTAATATGTAATATTTATTAAGATATTATAAATTAAGGGCTGGAGAGATGGCTCAATGGTTAAGAACGCTGACTGCTCTTCCAAAGGACCCGGGTTCAATTCCCAGCACCACATGGCAGCTCACAACTGTCTGTAACTCCAGTTCCAGGGAACCTGACACCCATGGCAAAACATCCATGCACATAATATAAAAAATAAATAAATTTTAAAAAAAGATATTATAAATTAGCCAGGCAGTGGTAGTGCATGCATTTAATCCCAGCACTGGGAGGCAGAGGCAGGTGGATCTCTATGAGTTTGAGGCCAGCCTGGTCTACAGAGCAAGTTCTGGGACAGCCAAGGCTACACAAGAAACCCTGTCTGGAAAAACCAAAAAAGAAAAGATATTATAGATTCTCACACATTTTTAACAAATAATAAACACTGATGCAGTGTATAGTATTACACAACTCAAATGGCAATCTTTGCAAAATGCAGAACAGTTAACATCAAAAGGAGCATTTCCAACACAAAAGCATCTACCCTGCATGTATCCCTTTTAAAACTACACCTACTGCCCTCCAACATGCACAGCTGTGCCTTTCTTTAACGCCTCCGCAATCTCTGACTACTTCAAAGTGAAAATGACTTTTGATGAGAGTCACACGTGGGAATTGTGCGATCCTGGCTCTCGTGTCTGTATTCCACCCCTGGCTCCTCTCAAGGCTTTCAGCTCTGAGTCACTGCTACATTTTTTTTTTATCCTGTCTGTGTCAATCAGTTCAGAGGTTCAAGAGAAGTTCTGTTCCTCAGCAAATGTCTCTCTTTGCCTAATGCTGACTTCATTGTTCTTAGTGCTGAAAAACAAGTCTGCTCTTCTGAGAAAACCAGGATTCACAGAGCTGTTATTTTGCTGTGTTAATGGTAGGTGGGCTCAGAAGCAGCACCTCAACATTAACTGTTCCTGCACTGCCACGCTCCTTTCATCAAGGGAACAGCTGCCTCTCCTAACATCTTTATTTTACTTTTCCACAATTAGGCCTTATTCAAGAAAACAAAACTCTTGAAATGTCTTTTTACCTTTAACCTATCCAATTCAACAATGATGAGATGTCAATAATACAAACATACTAGAGTGACTGTCTACCTCTCAAATTATTTTCCTAAGGCCTCCATCTCTCCAGAGGAAAGTAGTCCCCAGCATCCCAAAGCAATGCTGCAGCACATCCCTACAGTATTCTCTCTTTGGTGCTAATACTGCTGGATCCTAGAATAAAGTAAATGCAGCCATATTTTCTCATCATCACTGGTGGTCTCTGATCTCCTCCTAGAAGCTCTGTTACATCCCATACAACAGAAACTGTCTTCTAGAAAGGACAGTCAAGAAGCTCCTTGGAACAAGTGAGAGAAGTATGTCTACTCATACATACTTCACCAATATAGGATTTCATGCATATAGTATCTAGACAACCGTCAAACTGAACTAAGGATGGAGTCAGATCTCCAGGATTACTTTTAGTCCTAACATAGACAAGGATCCTATGCAAGTGAACATCTACCCAGTAACTAGTCAAACTAATTAGGCTGAATACACCAATGGAGAGCATTTCTTTGAAATGTGTGGTATTCTTTATCCTTGTCTCTCTTCTACAGTTGTGTGAGTTATATACAACCCTTAACAGCAAAGCATCCTTTACTTGGTTCCTTGCTCTCCTTCACTCCTCACAATCCAGCATTAGACATTTCCTTAAGCATGTTTACCTATAACACAAATATGATCATTTGCATAAGTTCTAAACAAAGTAGTCTTAATTTTATCAAGATGTAGCTCAAAAAACTGATCATGCAATCAGGTCGATAAGGCAGTATTGTATTTAACAAGTCCTCCCAAGCCTAAGGCTGGACTCCGTCTGTGACTTCAACATCTTCAAAGCCCTGCAGGGACAGCCTACAACCTATTCTGTACTTTACAGAATAGGGAAAAGGGGGCTCTCTAGCAAGTGGGAAACTTGGCAGATTCAAGGAGTGTGAGAAGAAGGGAATTTGTCCAAAGGTCTACTGTGAGGACATGTCCAGGTGCACTGTAGACACAGTCCTCTTGGATTTTCCACACTTCATAAAGAGAAGCAAATAAGAGCAACAGTGAATTCAACGTATCAGAGAGACGGAGGCACACTGCCCTGGACCTTGCTAAATTGAGGAACTACCAATTCAGGAGGGAATCCAAAGCACTGGAACTATGGTGGGGGTTACTTTAGGCACTCTCTCTGAAGGCAGCCAGAGTCGAATTTCTAATAACACAGAACAGCAACTGTGCAAATAGGAAACAAAGCCGGTGGTTTCTACATATATTCTATGCTACTCCCTTTTAAGAGAAGAGATCCAGTCTTGTTTCAAAGTCCCCCATCAAGGAGAAGTTTATGTCCCGTTGTCTCTAAGATGCCTCTTTGATGACTCCTGAGGTCTCACTATCAGTCCAAGCACAACCGTTCTCCTCCTCGCCTCTCCCTTCACACCTCATTCTCCCAAACCCTAGTGTACCGGGCTCACATGACATGATGTAAAGCATGCCTATCTCCCACCAGCTAACCACTATTCTGCTCTCTATTTCCAAGGATTGCTTTTCTAGGCTCTAAACTCCACATGAGCAAAGACATACACACTCCTGTGCCGGGCTTGTGTCAATCATCAGAAGCTCTTCAGAGTCATGTGTACTGCTGAACACTTAGAGAACTAATATCAACTTTTCCCAAGCTCTTTATAGTTCTACAAAACAAGTATTGACTTGAAATCAATGTCAAAAGAGGAATGTGCTTCAAGGGAAAAAAAAACACAAACTAATATCCCCTATGAATATTGATGCAAAAATACTAAACAACATACTTGTAAACTGAATTCAATAGTACACTGAAAGGATTCAACATGACAGCCAAATAGGACTCATTCTTGCAGTTCAAAGATTCATACATAAATAATTCATCAGTGTAACAAACCACATTAACAGAACAAAAGAAGAAAAAGATACAGCCATTCTGATGATGTAGAAAAAGTACTAAACTAAATCAATACCCTTTCATAATATAAACACAACAAAGAAAAATTTAATTTAGTAAATAAAACACCAATCAGAAGTGGATAGAAGAAATTAGTTCAACATAAAGACCATTTAAAAAAATATCCATACTCAATGGTAGAGAACAGAAAGCTTCTCCTCTAAGACCAGAAACAAGATAAAGATGTCTGCTTTTACCACTTCTCTAAATTCTAGCCAGAACAACCATACAAAGATGCAGTAAAAGACATCCATATTGAAAAGGAAGAGATTGGGTTGGGGATTTAGCTCAGTGGTAGAGAGCTTGCCTAGCAAGCGTAAGGCTGTGGGTTCAGTCCTCAGCTCCAGAAGGAAAAAAAAAAAAAGAAAAGGAAAGGGAGAGATTGGCACTGGAGAGATGGCTCAGAGGTTAAGAGCACTGACAGCTCTTCCAGAGGTCCTGAGTTCAATTCTCAGCAACCAGCAACCACAGGGTGGCTCACAACCATCTGTAATGAGATCTGGCGTCCTCTTCTAGTATGCAGGCATACATTCAGGCAGAATACTGTATACAAAATAAATAAATAAAATCTTGAGAGAGAGAGAGAGAGAGAGAGAGAGAGAGAGAGAGAGAGAGAGAGAGAGAGAGAAGGAAAAAATTATAGACAGCCTTAGATTTACAATGGGTCAATATACAATTCTTCAACTTCTACAGTGCTGCAAAAGCATTACCACATTTAATAGAAATCACTGTTAACTTTTTCCTAGGCTAGAGATAATATGGTATAATACCCTTCTGTGTTGCTCAAGTATAACAGTATACCAAGGCCCCCAATCAGCCACAAGATGAGTGTAAAATACTGATTCTAGTGTATGGTGTGTGTGTGTGTGTGTGTGTGTGTGTGTGTGTGTGTGTGTGTGTGTAACTTATATTCAACTTATGATAGGTTTATCATAAATCAAGGAGTACTTATATCACTATTCATGAATAACATGAATATACACTCTTGAAACAGTAAAGAATACCCACAGAAAATCTGTTAGAACTGATGAATTCAGATGTTACAGAATACAAAACAACCAAGGAAAATCAGTCACATTTTTATACACTAACAATGAACAACCCAAACACAAATTAAGGACCAAACTGCATTTACAGTAGCACTCTAACCAAGGAGGGAAGACTCATATACAAAAAGTAAAAAATGTTACTGAGAGGCGGAGCGGAAACGGGGAGCAGAGTCTCCGGGCGCCCAGCGCTCTCCGTCCTACCTCCATCCCGGCCCGGAGGCTGTTGCGGCGCCGCTGACGTCCGCGGCGGGCTGTGGCTGCAGCTCCAGCTCGCGAGCTCCGCGGCGGTGGCCCGCGTGATTGACGGGAAGCCCGCGGGCCAGTTATGTCAAAGCAGAGGGAGCCGTGCTGAAGATGGACACACAGCACTAGAGAGTTTTTCCTCTTTTCTCAAACGTCCTGATTATTTGGTGTCTTGTCTCCAGTCACTGCTTCTCAATCAAGTCTGTTTGCTTCATCAGAAATGTTTTTTACAATCTCAAGAAAAAATATGTCCCAGAAACTGAGTTTCCTGCTGCTGGTGTTCGGACTCATCTGGGGGCTGATGTTACTTCACTATACATTTCAACAGCCACGGCATCAGAGCAGCGTCAAGTTACGTGAGCAGATCCTAGATTTAAGCAAAAGATACGTGAAGGCCCTGGCAGAGGAGAGTAAGAGCATGGTGGATGTGGACAGTGGAGCATCCATGGCAGGCTACGCGGATCTGAAGAGGACGATCGCAGTCCTCTTAGACGACATCCTGCAACGCTTGGTGAAGCTGGAGAACAAGGTCGACTATATTGTTGTGAATGGTTCGGCAGCCAATACTACCAATGGCACCAGTGGGAGCTTCGTGCCGGTGACCACCCACAAAAGGACGAGCGCGCCGGGCAGTGTCAGATAGCAGTGAGGGCCACCTGCAGGGCTGCACCACTGTGGAGTACATCCGTCGCAGGACACCTCTAAACCGCTGCCTGGGACGCAGTGATACTTGACAATAAAAGCTCTATGCATTTTCAAGGAGCTCGCTGGATTCATAGGACGCTAATTCTGTATATAAACTCGCAGGCACTCTTAGTTTGCTTTCCCACAAAGCTCTTCAATGCTGTTCTGTATCCTTCCTGGGAGTTTGGCAGCACAGTGGATGTGGTGAGCAGGGAGGTCATCTTCGTATCCATCTTTAGTATCTGAGATCAAGAAGAAACAAAAACACCAGAAAGACATGGAGTCCTTTCTATAAAATATTTATTTAAGTATGTAACATGTTTTTCAGAGAAGCGGACGACAACATTACTGAATTATTCTGTCGTCTGCCCTCATGATGTCCCTGTGAGTAGAAAACATGCTTAATTCCAGTACTATATTTTGTTACTCAGATTATGAGCAGGAAAAGGAAGTGTCATGTTAAAAATCATGTTTTGAAATAGACCCAAAGAATGTTTTCATTTGCACTATCCTTCAAAATAACTGAAGGTTAACTGTATATTTTTTAAAAATAGCATTTGTAAGAGTATAATTTTGAAATGGGTAGCAACCACTGTCCATAGCCTAACCATTGGGGACTATTTAATAGAAATGAGAGTAATCTCTAATCTCATACTTAAAAATTTCTTACATATATTCTGCATAATAATACATATTTTTATGATGAAATGAAAAATAAAATATGCGTGATTTTTCACAATCATGATTGTTGATTTGAAAGTAAATCCCAGTGTCATATGCTTGTAGCCATGGATACTCAGGAGGCTGAGGCAGGAGAATTGCAAGTTCACTGCCAGCCTAGGCAACAGAGCAGACCCTATCTAAAAAAAGGAAAAGGAAAATATTCGGCCCATTGACTGCTTCTGCATTAGGAAGGCTTACATTATTTCCATATTTTGGTAAATGTTGCTTTGATTATATTGGTGGGGAAAGGAAGAGACTTGAGGACGTTAACCAGATGTATATAATAAATGTATTTGTGCTGCACAAAACTGCTTGGAAAATGTTAATGTTAGTTGATGTTATGTAAGAGTATCCTGTGTTAGGAGATGTCAGATTAGCTACTCATTTTATATAACTGATCACTTTACAAAATTAAGAACATTAAAATATAAATTATGAAGACTGATTATCTTTTTAGGGAAATAGCTACTGTATACAGCACAAGAAATCTTAACTTGGTTGATTCTAGTATAGAAAAAACCATGTCTTTATTTAAATATCTTTTGTAGCAAATCCA